AGAGTTATGCTGGTGGTGAGGAAGGCAGGGAGAGGGTACTCTATTAGGCCAGGAACCTGTGTTAGATCGTTGAAGGTCGTGCCATACTTGCTGAGGGTTTCTGGGGAAGGGATCTGAGCTTTTGGCTCAATTTGGCAGAGATGGGCATACAGCAACTCATAGTCAATCTGGTCTTTGGCGAGCTTGAAGTTCAGCTGCAGGCTCTTGATGTAGATGTTGTACACCCTCTTGAACGCATTGAGCTTCACTGATCCGTAGGCATTGAGGAAGTTCTTGAAGCTGCAGAGACAGTCAAGAATGACCCAGTTGAGGAAGACATCCCCAACTTGTTGCTTGATGACAAAGGTGGAGGGCCAAGTGGTGATGCCAAGCATGTGCCAGACAACTGTATGGTGGTTGCAATCAAGAGCCTCTGAGAAATGGTGGTGTGAGTGTTGTGGGGGTGGGATGGCACAACTGATGTGCAGTGGTGAGGGCAGGGCCAATAAAAGGCTACAGAACACATACCCCATTCATCTTCATTGTCATGGTTCATGTGTTCAGAGGGCTTGAGGAAGTGGACAATGAATGGCTTATTGAAGACAAAGCCACCATGAGCCACTGAGCGAAGGTGGCGTATGCCCACACCTGTGATCAGGCAGTGCCATTCTATGTTGCTGGACAATGATCAGCTCACCATGCACAGCAAAGCATAAGGCCATGGAGGGCATACCTGTCATGGTGCACTTGAGCAAATTTACCTCCCTGCCTTTCTCCAGCCACATGGCATGGAGCATTGCAGGGTCAATGTCAGCAGCTGTGACCTCAGGTAGATTGAGGTCCAGGTCTTGGGTGGTGCAAAGCGCTTGTATGCAGATTGCCTGCACAGAGCAGAGACCTGGAAAGTTGTGGAACTTGGCCACTATGAGAGGTGAGGTGGGTAAGTAGGATGGAAAATGGGAACTGGGGGGAGAGCAACCAATGCACATCAGTTGAGAGGGAGGGGGAGAGAGGAGAGCGACCAATGTGCATCAGTCAAGATGGGAGGGGGAGAGAGGAGAGCAACCAATGCACATCAGTCAATAGGGAGGGGAGAGGAGAGTGACTGATGTGCATTGGTTGAGTGTGAAGGGGAGAGAGGAGAGCAACCAATGCACATTGGTCAAGAGGGAGGGGGGAGAGGAGGAGAGTGACTGATGTGCATCAGTTGAGAGGGAGGGGGAAAGGAGAGTGACTGATGTGCATTGGTTGAGTGTGAAGGGGGAGTGAGGAGAGCAACCAATGTGCATC